AGGAGGGTATGGCTTCCAAGCCACCAAAAAACCTGTAGGCTGTTCTAGGATTCCCTGGTGGCTTGCTTTCCCTCCCTGATGAAACCTGGCAAGTTGGCTTAGTAAGGTGCATGGTGGATGTGTGTGTGCCTTTCAAGTCAGGACAACCTTTTGTCCTTCCTTTTCCTTTGCTTGGAAAACCAGAATATACTGTGTCCAATTTTCAGGATTTATATCAGTGGTGTAATATATCTTCTTTTGGAGCAGAACCTGAATTGCTTAAGCACACAGCATTAACAGTACAATATATTAATATAGTAATACATTAATGTTTACTCTGGCATAAGTTCCATTGTAACTACTGGGCTTACTCTCTGTTTTATGTGTGAGAATTTTAACCAAAACCTCTCTTTAGCCTTTGCTACAACTCTGCAGTCTACTGCAAAGAATAGTATGCCCCAAATGTTGCTAGGGACATATATCCAGTGATTTCACTGATTTCAATACAGCTGTGCCCAGTAATCTGGTTGGCTAACTTCAATCTCATTTTGCCTTTTTACTTGAATCCTTATGGTCCATGAATACTAATTCTACAAAACAAGAATTCAGAATCTTAAAAAAGACAGATTAGTTTTGTTTTAACTGATTTTAATATACATCCTTGCTGAAGAATATGTAAAGAGTTTTGCGGATCAGTACAAGATTTATTTATTTATTTATTTATTTATTTCTTACCAGCATGCAAATGATGATGTTCGTCCATCATTTTTGATGAGGACCTTGACATCTAACGGGTTGTGAGTTGTCCACGGTGTGTCCACAGGTGGCTGATAAGGCCGATATGGGCACGGAGTGTTCTGCCACATGTCAGGCAGACATGTGTGGGCACCACTGTTGCAACGTTTGCAACTCTGGCTTTACGGAGTGCTCGCTTCTCTTGTGCTATGGTTGTCCTTCTGACTTCAGAAGTTTGGCAGCCTTGGTGGATCAGCGAGCACCATGTCGATCAGTCTTGTGCCAGGGTCTCCCAGGAGGTGATGTCAATAACCAGGGACTTGAGAGAAGCTTTCAGCATGTCTTTGTATCGCTTCTTTTGTCCACGTGCGATCGCTTTCCTTGAGACAGCTCACCATAGGAAAGCTGTTTGGGGATGTGGTGGTCTGGCATCCTTGCAACATGGCCTGCCCAGCATGTCTGGGCTTTCATCAGCAGGGTGTGAACTGATGGCAGGCCTGCTCTGGAGAGGACCTCTGTGTCTGGCACCTTGTCTTGCCACTGGATCCTCAAAAGTCTGCAGAGGCAAGTCATGTGGAAGTTGTTCAGTTGCCTAGCGTGCCTCCTGTATACTGTCCAAATCTCACTGGCATTCATCAGGGCAGTTAGCACTACTGCTCGGTAGACTTTAAGCTTTGTAGCAAGGCTTATTCCACGGTGGTTCCACACTTTGGTCTGCTGAATGCAGAGCTTGCCTTGGCGATTCTGCAGTTGACCTCGATGTCAATTGTCACTGCTCGGGAAAGTGAGCTGCCAAGGTATGTAAATTGGTCCACTGCTTGCAGCTTTTGTCCCTTCACTGTGATGGTGGGCTCTTGGTATTTATTGGGCTTTCAGAGCTGGCTGATGCCTCACTTTGATTTTCTCTGTGTTGATGAGGAGGCCGAAGTTGTCACATGCTACTGCAAATTTGTCCATGCTGGCTTGCATTTCCTGCTCTGATCCAGCATTCAGGGCACAGTCGTCAGCAAAAAGGAGGTCTCATAGCACAGTCTCCTTTATCTTGGTGACAGCCTGGAGTCTTCGCAGGTTGAACAGTTTCCTATCGGTCCTGTGTTTCAGGCTGACTCCCAAGGAGTTGTTCTGAAAGGCGTCTGTCAGCATGGCTGAAAACATGCAAAACAGGGTCGGTGCCAGTGTGCATCCTTGCTTGATGCCATTTGTGATGGGAAAGACCTCTGAAGCTTCTCCGTCGTCCAAAACATGAGCTGTCGTGCCGTCATGGAACTGATGTACCATCAGGATGAATCTGTCAGGGCACTCAAACTTCGACATGATGCTCCACAGACCTTCCCGACTCACAGTGTCAAAAGCCTTGGTGAGGTCCACAAAGACGGTATACAGTTCACGATTCTGCTCTTGACACTTCTCTTGGAGCTGTCGGGCTGTGAAGATCATGTCCACAGTGCCACACTCTTTGTGGAAGCCACACTGTGTCTCGGGTAGTAGACCCTGTTTCAGATGGTCAGTCAGGCGATTCAGCAACACACGTGCAAGGATCTTGCCTGCAATGGAGATTATCACAGACTTGTCGATTTCCTTTCCTCTTGTAGAGGTGTACGATGGATGCGTCTTTCAGTTCCTGAGGAATGGATCCTTGATTCCAGAAGGACTGGAACAGCTGAGTGAGTGTGTCGACAAGCACTGCACCACCTTCCTTATAGACTTCCGCTGGGATCGCATCAGATCCTGGGGCCTTGCCACTGGACAGCTGACTGATGGCCTGTAGGGTTTCAGGCTTTGATGGTGGGGCATCCAGGCTGTGGTTGATATCCGCCTGGGGCATTCTGTCAATCGCCTCATTATTGATGGAGGATGGGAGGTTCAGTACGGATTGGAAGTGCTCAGCCCAATGCTTTAGAATCAGAGTCTTCTCAGTAATGAGAGTTGCACCATCTGAGTCCAGTAGAGGGGAGCTCCCTGAAGGCTGAGGTCTGTACAAGGATCTGAGGGCTTCGTAGAACCATTTGGCATCGTTCCTATCAGCAAACTTCTGGATTTCATCTGCTTTGACACTCAACCAGGAGTCCTGCATCTTGTGAAGCTTGCTCTGTACAGTCCTACGAGCGGTGTTGAAGGCGTTTTTCTTCGCTGTTGACAACGGGTCATTCTGATGAGCACGGTGAAGGCGGTGCTTTTCGGCAAGTAAGGCCTTGATCTCTTCATCGTTTTCATCAAACCAGTCCTGCTGTTTCCTGTGTGAGGGTCCAAGAACCTTTAGTTCAGAAGAGTGCACAATATCCCAGAAGCATTCCCAGTCCTTCTCAGCATTTTCCTCTAATTGCAGCTCTGAGAGTTGGTTGTCAAGAGCTTCTGCTAATGAAGCTGCTGTGTTGGGGTTCCTCAGTTTACTGACATTGATCTTTTTCATCACAGCTTTGTTTCCCTGTGGACGTCTGTTAGACTTGATGTGAAGGCTTAATTTGGAGATGATGAGTCTGTGGTCAGTCCAACAGTCAGCACTCGGCATGGCCTTGGTCACCCTTACATCCTGTCTGTCTTTCCTCTGCACGATGGTATAATCAATGAGGTTCCAGTGCTCGGAGCGTGGGTACATCTAGGACGTCTTTTTGTGAGTGGGCAGGTGGAAGATGGTATTAGTGATGATCAAATCATGAGCCGCACATGTCTTCAGTAGTAGTAGGCCATTGCTGTTACATTTGCCGATTCCATTTTTTCCAATGATGCCATCCCAGGCAGAGTGATCAGATCCTACTCTCGCATTGAAATCGCCAAGTAGAATCAGCCTGTCAGTGCGCTTCATGGATGAGAGTAGGGCATCGAGATCTTCATAAAACTTGTCCTTTACTTCATCTGGATTCGTCATTGTGGGTGCGTAGGCTCTGATCAGAGTGGCTTGCTTTCCTCTTGGTAGTGGGAGATGCATTGTCATGAGTTGGTCGTTCACACCCTTGGGAAGACTGGTAGGTATGGGGACAAGATGATTCTTAACCGCAAAGCCAACTCCAGATTCACAACGTTCATCACTGCTACGTCCCCACCAAAAGAATGTGTAACCACCTCCTGTTTCTGTGAGCTGACCTTCGTTGGCTAGGCGAGTTTCACACAGGGCCACAATATCAATGTTAAATCTTGTGAGCTCTCTGGCGACCAGGGCTGTTCTTCTTTCTGGTCGATCTGCTGAGGGGTTGTCTTGAAGCGTGTGTACATTCCATGTGCCAATAGTCAGTGGTGTTACCTTGCGTTTGCATTTTGTTTGCAGTTTTGTTGTTCAACCGCATAAGATGGAATTCCCTCCAGCTGGCCAGGATTCTGTGAAGCAAACAATGTTTAGGGCACCTTTTCTAGCCCCTTGCTCTTGCTACAGAGGTGAGCAGTGCGGTCCTAAAGAGGGCTGCTCAGTCACTCAGGTAGACACTGAATCCAGCTGTTGCTTTGGTCAGCAAGAAGACGACCATTAGACCTGAGCCGCCTGTGTGCAGGTCTGCGGCTACAGCTCCCAGTGTATCCACACCTGCTGCTTCATCGCTCTCCCATCACCACAGGACTTTGAGGTTTACTAGAACTGAGGAAGTCAAGACTTGTGCGTGGATTGGATTAAAGTGAAGGAGAGGTGCGCATAGTCAGCCTCACTCTCTCTTCCCAGAATCCATCTTGCTCCAGTGGCAGCACAAGAGTCAAGACGTTTGGAGATGGACTGGGCACAGTGGTTGACCAGGGCGTCTTCGTGTCTTGCCGTGCTCTTAGCGTACCACAACGCTTGCAGAAACCGCCTTCATGAAAAATAACCAGTGGGCAGAAGGACTGTTGCCCATGTTCTGCCAAACCCTATGTTGTTGTTGTTTAGGTTCAAGATAAGAAGCAAAGTATTCTTTAATGAATATAGTGTTTTAGGAATTAAGCATCTCACTACTTCTAAAATGTCTCTAATAATTTTGCTTGTGCTCATTGCTATATTGAATATTATACTTAGATCTCAATAGCCATTTGTAATTTTGTAGGGTGTTCATCCTAATTTTTTTTTCTCTGTTGCAGGAGAGATTACTGTAAGCAAAATATGGAATGGGTTTCATTTGGGACTGAATCCAGCCAAACAAACAGTATTGACAATAGCTTGAAAATCACCAGTTAGCAGTTTCTTCACGCTCCAACACTACACAGCACTTTCCAGAGAGACCTCATTGTGTGCAAGAAATCTGCTTTACAAATCTGCCTCGGTACCCTACAGCTTTGTCTCATTAAATACTTACAAAAGAAAAACCTATCTACAAAAGTTCTTGGGGAAAATGGCATTAGAAGAATACCTGTGGATGGTCATTGTGGGTTTTATCATTGCTTTTGTTTTAGCATTCTCTGTTGGGGCAAATGATGTTGCCAATTCTTTTGGTACTGCTGTGGGCTCTGGTGTAGTTACTTTGCGCCAGGCCTGTATTCTTGCTTCTATTTTTGAAACTACGGGTTCAGTGTTGCTAGGAGCAAAAGTAGGTGAAACCATTCGTAAAGGCATAATTGATGTAAATCTGTACAACAACACTGTGGATCGACTAATGGCAGGAGAAGTCAGTGCAATGGTTGGTAAGTAACTGTTTTTAAAGTATATAATTAGCTATCTTTATTGTCTTCAACTTAGCATATCTCTGTGATTTCCACTCCTCTTGATCACATTTCTTAATATCAAACACAGAAATCCAGTAGCTTGTCTTTCAGACATTCACATTTCTGTATGTATACATTTGCTGTTATGGGCTACTGAAGTTGATATAGATCAGCCTTCCCCATTCTGGTACCCTCCAGATTTTTTACATTTCATCTCCCATCAACTCTTGCCAACATAGCCAGTGCTCATGAATGACTGGAGTTGTAGTCCCAGGCATCTGGGGGACATCAGATAGGAGAGGATGGGTGCAGGTGTTGACCACTGTTGAGATTTCTGTAGTGTTAAGAAACTGGAAGCAGATCATGGGAGCGAATTGTTTCCATTTCCCTGTACAGCTTTCCTCTTCCTTTTTGTTAGTACTAGCCTTAATTGCAGTTGATGCCAATACAATTCCCTTTAACTGTGCTTTGAAATCAGGATTTGAACCTGGTTAAAAGAGAACCTGGCCATCATTTATTACAATTAAAATCAGTTCTGATCTTCCACTTAACCAAGGTGAGAGGGAACTCTTACTCCCATTTTCTCTTCCCAATCCATAACCTGTGTTAAAGATCGAGCATATTAATGTCTGCACTGAGTCTTATTTTGGCTGTTCTTGCCTTAAGTTATATGTTTCAGAAAACAGTTATTTCTTGTTTGATTTTGTATTTTTGTGATGTTATAGTACATTTCTGTTTTGAGAGAGGAAAAGAAATGTAGTATGTACAGTGCATGATACCCTATGCTATCAAAATAAATGCATATTTTGCCAAAAGTGTTAGAATAATAGTATGCAAGAACAGAAATAACTGCATGATCTTAAAGGTTTATATACAAAAAATGGTTGTAATAATATGCTATTTGTTGTCTTAGGACATATTCATTTGCAATTACCAATACTTTTAAAATATCTTTTATTTGTATATGTGTGATTTTTAACACAAGACAAAAATAATTCCAAAAGGATAGATAATAGTTTTCTAGACAGCCCTAATTTTATATATTCATAATAAGATTAAACGGTACAAAAATTCCACCTTGGATATTTTCATATCATAGAGTTAGCGAAGAGACAAAGTAGGAGAGAACCATAAATAGCTGGTGGACTCTGCTTATCTTTCTGGGTCACAAATTGCATAGCCTATAGCAGCGGTCCTCAAACTTTTTCAATAGGGGACCAGTTGAAAGGTTGCAGTGACCGTCGCAGGCCGGTGAGGTGGGGGTACCTGGGGGCGCAGACTGGTGAGGTGCTGTCGAGTGAGCAAGCGAATCCAAAACCATCTCCAAGCGAGCAAGCCACCACCTCCCCACCTGTGCTGCAAGGCAACGGCGAGCGCACATGTATGGAAGGTGGGTGGCGGCAGCTTGCTCGCTCAGAGACCATCTCTGAGTGAGCAAGCCACCGCCCCCTTGTTCACGCAGCAATCATGCACATGGGTGGCGAACAGCGGCGCGGGCTGGATGGATGGCCATGGCGGGCCAGATCCGTCCCGCGGGCCATAGTTTGAGGACCCACGGCCTATAGTAACATCAGTTCTTGTCTTTATCTATGATTAACGCCAATGGGACATGCAGCAAGATATGGATTTGGATCTTTTCAATATATTGCAGCTTCCTAGGAATTGGGAGGTATTTATATTACATGTGTTAAAATAGCATATAATTTCATTTATTTAAAGCATGTGTGGCTTGCTCTTGAGCCAAAATATGCACTTTACAAAAATATGACAGAAAAGCAAATGGAGATGAAGAGGGAGGACTGGGAAAAGCAAATGGTCTTTCATTAAGTTTAATAGGATGGCCTCATTTACCACTGTTCAAACCTTCTGGAAATGAATGTTTATACTATGAAAATGTAATTTCATAAGGAGCTATGCACGCTTGTGTAAAGAGCATGATGCTGACACTCTCAGAAAAAAAAATCCAGAACCTTACATATATTCATGCCCTCTTAACAGAAACAGGCTGATGAATTTTCCACTATAGGTTTTGTGCTTTCTTCTATGCTTGAAGGGGACTATGCAAAACAAGAGCTAGTATTCAGAAGTGTGGAAAACCCAAAGTAGTAATGCAATTTATTTGATTATATTTATGTGGAGAGAAGAGTTATATTGTCCAAAGGTTTATAATATTTCTAGCAAAAGGTCCAGTTCACATTGTTCAACACTGTTACTGCTTGTCTTGTTAAAACGACTGGGCCCACTTCTCCCAAAATATAGCATTTCAAGGTTCTTACCTTAGAATCTGCATCCCTTAGATTAATAACTTAGAAGAAAAGTTATTCTTCCTTGTCTCTCTGCATCACACATATAGGCTCTTTGCGCAGGTGTGGAGCTGTTTTCAGGAAGATTCCAAAGCTGATGAATTAGTATTTGGCTGGAGCCCAGCCTCCAACACTCCAAGCATGAAGGTGGGGCTCCCACTGAGACTTCAGTTCTTCTTCAACTGCCATTGTAAGCGAATCGGGAAGGTCCTCCTCCAACTTACCTTGGGAATTTGCTCTTCTTTGTGACTCTCGGCCTCCTGATCTTGCCAGGTTTTCCTCTTGTAATTATCTCTTCAATAGAAGCAAAAATGAAGCAAAACAAAAATTTAAAATTTAAACTACAGGAGTACACAGTGGAAAAGTCTTTGGGTGTTAGTTCCCTATGCTGCCTCTTGCCTCATTGAACAGACAAGATGGCTCTGAAGGCCCTTTTCCACAATTGTACCACATGTGGTAGTAAACTTTCTTACAGACGGTGACTTCCTTGGCCTCTTCTGTTTGGAAGAGTCTCATGTTGTCGATTCTTGCTACCACTGCCAAACTTTCACTAAGCAGGCAAGGAAACACCAATTTGACCGGCTAAAAGCCGAACTGTAGAGCTGTGCCCTGCACGCAAAAGAACCCGAACTATCTACATCTGGGTCTCCAATCCCTACAACCACGAATGAGACCTTAGCCCCCCCCCCCCCCCCCCCAACAAAAAACCCCAAAAAAAAAAAAAAAAAGAAAACAAAAAAAAAGGAAAAAATATCAAAAAACCACAAGGGGAGGATTAAAAAGTCCCAGAAAAAAA